ACAACTAATTTCAAAACGATGTTGTTTTTTCGAAATTCCTAATTCCTCCTTAAGCTTTTTTTCTCAACAGAACTATGGTTATCCTTTGATCTTTTAAAGCAGGACAAATACTTTATCATGGAAAAAGTGACCTTCAGATGTTGTTTGACTATCGATTAAAGCTATAAGACCGCTAAATATCTACATAGGTCTTAACAGCGACCTTCAGTACTATAAATTGTGGTGAAAAGTCGGCGTTATTTTCGTACAAAAATTTTTAAACTTTACATAAAAAATGAAAAATATTCTTTTAGTTATAGGATCACTTTGTTTGATTCTCACAAGCTGTTTGGGACGAAAACTAGTTTGTAGTCAACCTGATGGATCAACAGAAGCTTTGAAAGGATATTGTCGCCGTCAGTCAACTGGTGAATGTCAGTGTACACAAGATTGTGATTATGCTGTATCCCTGATAGATTGTGTTTGTGCCAATGAAGATTTAGCATATGCAAGAGATCAAAAATTGGCTAATTGTACAGTTTGGACACAAGGACGTTGGTTACACTATGTGAAAACCATAAGAGAAGAAATTGTGAAAGGTGTTATACTCGTTCCTGCCAGTAATACTCCAGGTAAGAAGTGAGTGGAAGAAAAATAATTCTCCGATCGATATTTTCAAGTGTGAAGGCTTTTATCTATGTTTAGACGGCAAAGGTCTGTTATTTCCTAACACTAATGAAGGACTACCATGGCCTATAACCGATGTTCATTCGGACAGAGCCCTAACAGTACACGGACCACACTGCCTACATATGATTCAAATGTTCAATGAACAAATCTCAAATGGTCAACCTTTGAATAATCTCGTTGATCGGTTACACTCTGAACACTGTAGACGTCTAGCACGACGCGTTTTGGCTTTGTTTGAAACACAGGCAAACTACCGGTAGGGATTGTACCTAGATGACAGGGCTCAAAGCTTTATGCTCAATGCTTCTATGTTTTTTCATCTTTAGGGTGGAACCAACCTCACTCTGTTCTGCTATAAGAAAATCTCAGCTACGAAATTTGGGTTTACTAGTCGAAGGCGTTACGAGTGTGGAAGCCCGGCTTGGCTTATTAGTGGAGGGAGTACCATCAGTGCAAGTCACAGACCACCTGGAATTATTAGTCGAAGGAGTACCTGCAGTACAAGTTATAGTCGAGCCTTTTCGTCGTGATAGGCTTCCAAACCAAAATTCGAGCGCGACCATCGTCACTGAATCACATCTTGTTTATACACAGCTGCATGAAAAGGCCAAACAATTGTTAAATTCATCTCATGTTCCAAACCAATTTATGCAGCGTATGATTGCCGGTCAAAATCGAGGCATTATTGAAGTGAGAGAATGGCTGGAAAAACCCTTAACTCGTGCCGAACAGCGATATTTTGATTCCTGGAAATCGGAAAGAGTTTTACAGTTTGCAGCACTTGGAATTTATTGTCAACAAGGTCATGGACAACAAGCGCCGATTGAATACATTCGTAACTTGCTGACAATGAAAGAATAAAAAAGACACTGAGGAAGAAATTTTCAGAGCATCATAACTGTTAACTATCAAAAAGGGTTATAACTAACTTTTTTGTTTAGTGTGATATTAGATTTTCATAAAATTCATTGCCATCTTTTTCTCTTTTGATATAAGCTATTTATTTGAAAAAGAAAGAAATCCGTAATTTTATACTATCTCTACCCACCGAAAGAGAGCCAGACCCCATTATTATCGGCGATAGAGAAAACAAGAGCTACGCATATTGTGAGAACAATTGAAAGATCTGGTAAAAGAAGAAAGAAGAAAACAAGATAGCAGATGGAGAAAAGAATGAGATTTTTCTCTTTTCCTTAGCAGAAAAAACAGTCGACACCACTGATCTCCGATCAAACAGGTTTCTAACTACAATTTTATCTTTCACAACCAAATCGACATAATCATCGTGCTTAAACTCAGGCGCCGTAATGCTGAAGTCGGCAAATACTAACTAATAATAGTGAAATTATTAAAAATATTTAATATAAAAGCGTTATCGGAAACGGTAGCTATTATTTATGGAATCATTTTGTTTTACTGAAATGTTCACGATGAGCACAAAATGTTTGTTACCTTGTATTTTGGAACAGCTAGTAGTACTGAAGCGGTTTGTCGCTAAACAAGTCTTTTTTTTTTCGACACAGAGTCGAACGAAGACCTACAGAGAACTATGCACACTTCCGCCCATTTCAGAATATGATTTCTTCACTGTTTCAAATATACCCATGTTTAAAGCAAAATTTAATAGTTTAATACATTCTACAATCACCTCATGATTTTGAGGAAAAGTGCGTATGAGCAAAAGTAAATACTGACAATAAAACTGGATTCAACAAAATTAATTATTAATAACGGCCAACATCCCGTCCAAATATTTTTAATTTTATCCAATCGAACGCTAATAAACATTTTATTCTCATCGTGCATTTCAGTAAAATAAAATGATTCCATAAATAATAGCTACCGTTTCCCGATAACGCTTTTATATTAAATATTTTTAATAATTTCACTATTGTTAGTTACTATTTACCGGCTTCGGCATTACGGCGCCGGAGTTTGAGCACGATGATTATGCCGATTTGGTTGTGAAAGATAAAATTGTAGTTAGAAACCTGTATGATCGGAGACCAGTGGTGTCGACTGTTTTTTCTATATGTGCCATAGATATATGTAGCCGTTAGAAAGAATTTTAAACGTTGAATGTTCGTCAGAAGTAGATTGAATACAGACCGAATATCGTCAAGTGTGATAATTTCATCTATTACAGTTAAAAAACCCAACAAGATGAAGTAATTTTGTCGTTAATGAATGGTCGTTTTCATTATAGGTTATCATTTTGTCTAATATTACATTTAAATCAACAATATTTGGGATAACGTTAATCACTTGATAAAAGTGATCCAAAGTACCAACACTAATTTTTAAATAACGTAAACTTGAAGTAATTTGTCGATCTCAAAATGTCATTGATTTACAGAGTACTGAACATTTTTCTAAGTATAGAAGGGTACGATCAATAAAAATGTCTTTGAAATATGTACATTTATAAGATACACGTGAGGCAAAGATCGAGCAGAATTTAGTTTTCTGCCTACAGTCACCGCTGAAGTCGCTTCGCAAACAGATACATTTAAGGTGAGCGACTAATGACAGTACAGTTTTTTAAGAAAACCATGTGCACTATTATTCGAATATTCATGCCAACACCTTCGTCACTTACTTTCTAAGTCCCGTTTCTGACTGGCTAGTGCCTAAGATCACCCGTCCGATAGTATAGTTACTACGTTGTGACGTACGATCCTGTTCCTTTACTAGTCCTTGCGGCTTTTGGAAAGCTAGTACGTGGTTAGTGAGAGTATATAGGGAACTCAATTAATTGAGTGAAAGAAGCCTGCATCAGACTAGTTTTCAGAGCGGAGTTCCAGCTGATGACTAGATTTTCAACTGTACAAAAAATATCGAACCTCATAAAACTGCTATTCCACAGCACTCTACAGCGCTAACGGTAGCCGCCGTATTGTGATCGATACAGAATTAAGAGTCCTACCGCGCGATCGCGAGTGTATAGCGACCGTAACCAAATCGTCACAACCAAATCGCACAATCGTCTAACACTGCATTTGACAATTTTGCACCAATCATTAATATTTGTAATGGATGGCGCATTATTCTTCGCATGCCTTCACTTCTTGGAGATACGTTAAATGCTGTGATGACGCCGTATATTAAAATGTGGCTAAAAGTTCAAAAGATCTTGATCTATATATTTGTTTTGAATTATCTCTATAAGTATTACAATCCTCATCGAACGATACATTATCCAGAACGTAGTTACTATATGTGGAAATGTTTCATTAGTCACTGTTGGTATGGCTCGAGAGTAGTGGCTGAGATTGTGGTTCCAGTACCAATCATTAGTTTGCAGGGACGTTTGTTGATAGAGCCCGTTACTTTTGAAATTTCCGTTTGTATGTTTTAATCCGGTGGAAGATCCTAACCTCGAGGCAGTCTCAATAATATTCTGGATTAATGTTCGTCATAAACCAGCATTTTTTCTGCCATGTACGTTCCTCCTTTGAACTCATTACTAACAGAGAGAAAGTAGTGCACTAGAAAAGAGCCTGTGTAGTTGTAAGTAGTAGACCGTTTTGATCTCTAGTAGAAAGGTTTGACTTGATTGCACCGATGCCAGCCTCATTGTGTTGAGTTGATTGAGAAAAATGATGGAATCGTCTTGGGCTCTCACACGAAGAAGTATTAGAGGCGTGCAATAGGGAAGTTAGAAACTTTCGAGAATTTTTTGCGAACAATGAGAAGCGTCTAGCTAAATGCATCATTTTACACTTTTCAAGAATTCGTCAAGAAAATATGCTTTAAAAAAAAATGCAAAAAGGATTACAATGAAATGGGATCATACCGATTCCAAATGAATCAGTTATAATTACTATGAATTGTAATCGTGAAAGGAAGGTTTCTGACATATTTCGCAAAGGATATTTCTCTTCCTAACAAAATTATTTTCATTTAGTCTTGACGTTTCGAATCACAAAGTGTTCGTCTTCACAAGTTTGTACATAGATAAAAATATACAAGAACAGTCAACTTCTAATTCAAACTAGCCACAAATTGCGTAATAATCTTTTAATTAGCATGAATGAAAAACCCAAGGATGAAATGAATTCAGAAACAGGATAAAGAAATTAATAAAATTGGTTTCCATGGTATTATATTAGTTATGAAAACAGGTCATTTAGACGATGCCTTTGAAAAAATTCATTTTATAAAACATTTTTACAAAAAAAGATACCAACCGTACTTCGCGTTGGTCATTGCCAATTAGATGCTAGGATACAATATAAAACAAACCAAAATGCATTACATTGTAGATTGATAACGCCAATTTCCTATAACTGATTCAGTCTTCTTCGTCTAAGATTTTTCTCCGCAATTGTTCTTTTAGTACATCATGTTTTGAGCATCTTGCAAACGAACTCCTATTAGATATTATTGATTATTTATCGCCATTAAATTTATTTTATAGTTTCTCTAAACTTAATCAACGTCTTGCTGATGTACTTAGACACTATACGTGGAGTATAAATTTAAAAGATATTTCTATCCGTAAATTTAACGTTCTACTACCATTATTACTCGAATCAAACAATATTAAACAACTTTATTCTAATGCTCATATTCATCATATGAAAACTACCTGCTTTTTCCTCGCAACGATTCAAGCCGGGAGACCGCGATATTTGGATCGGGCATGTCGAGAAACGGTGTTCACCTAAGTTTCGTCTTGAAGGCAGACAAAAAGTTCCTGT